CCCTCCCCCTACCGCATCCCAAAACCAGCCCAGCTCGTCCCCGCCTCCCTAACCTGTTCTTCCTCCCACCTATCCCCTCCTCCCACCTCAAGCCGCACCCCCATCTCCTACCTACTAATCTCATCCCGCCCCTTTGACCTGTCTGTCCTCCCTGGACTGACCTATCTCCTCCCTACCTACCCACCTACACTCACCTTTACTGGCTCCATCCCCGCCTCTTTGACCTGTCTGTTTCCTCTCCATCTATCTTCTCCTCTATCCATCTCTCCCTCTCTCCCTATTTATTTCAGAACCCCCTTCCCCTCCCCCATTTCTGATGAAGGGTCGAGGCCCAAAACGTCAGCCTTCCTGCTCCTGTGATGCTTTTGGCCTGCTGTGTTCATCCAGCTTTACACCTTGTTATCTCAGATTCTCCAGCATCTGCAGTTCCTACTATCTCAGAAAGGTAAATGCATTGTTAGCATTCATTTCGAGGGAGTTGGAATACAAGAGCAGAGATGTACTGCTGAGACTATAAGGCGCTGGTCAGGCCGCATTTGGAATATTGTGAGCAGTTTCACTGGTTTTCATAAGGGACCACAGTTAAAGATGCTATCAAAATGCAATTTTTAAAGTCATGGTTCTTAAAGGCATGCCTCAATTTTGCATTTCTCTTAATCAATTTTACTGACATCAAGCAGCCCCCTCCAAGTTGCCAGTGACATCTCTGCATGCGAATCCTTTCTTGTGTTAAAAAAGGCTAAAAGCAGTTGGGCAAGATAAGAGGTGGGGGGGGGGAACAAAATTGTTGGAGACAGGGATTTCCGCAGTTGGGTAAAGAAAATTACCAGGAGAGGGCAAATCCACAATGTAATGGTCAACTTTGTGTCAAAGTTCAATGTCAGAAACCAAAATGTCCACCATCACATGGAGAAACATCCCCTTGATAGCAAACAGATTGAAAAGAAATTTCAGATGCCTTTCATAATTGGTATGTCATTTAATGTTCCCTGCAGAGCATTGTCATAAAAATTCTAAAATATAGTACCCCCAAGCTCTTTCTCCCAGGACAGGGAAGTCCTCAACTGGACAGCATAGGTGTAAGGTGAGAGGGGAGTGATTTAAAAAGGACCTAAGGGGCAAATTTCTCGCACAGAGTGTTTATGGAACAAGCTGCCAGAGGAAATGGTGGAGGAGGCTACAATTACAACATTCAACTCCCCCTCCAGGTACATGGATAGGAAAGGTTTAGTGGGAAATGGGCCAAATGGGAAACCTGGTTGGCATGGATGAGTAGGGCTGAAGGGCCTGTTTCCGTGGTGGATATCTCTACGACTCTGTGACTCTATAATCCGCCATTGAATGTTTAGCAATGGCTTGTTTCTGTCACACCAGTTGATTTAAAATAAAAACTTTCTCATATGAAATATAAAAGAGACACTGTCCAGTGCTGTTACATCCCTCCTGACCAGTTACATTGCCCTTTTCAATAAGTTACCTTTCTTGATAATTATAAGGCACAGCACCACAATGATCACAACAGCACATCCCAGTCCGACGTAGAGATATAATCTCATCTGTGCATCTGTGCAGTGCAAAAGAATGAGAGTCACATTGATGAACAGCAAAGAAACATCAACATGCCTGACTGGAGAATAATACACACCCTGAAGCATCAGATGGTCCCTTTTTAACACATGTTCTGACTTAATCAATAAATATAGCCAATGGACATTTAAAGGCCTTGCACAACTTATGTTCCCGAGATTTGAGTCAGAGCGAGTATCTGGTATGTCCCATAATGCTCACCATGTCTAGGTACAGAGGGAAATTTCCCAGGATGTTGTTTTGGGGGCTGGAGAGTTTCAGTGATAGTGAGAGATTGGGTAGACTAGGATCGTTTTCCTCAGAGCAGAGGAGATTGAGAGGGGGACATGATTGAAATGTATAAAATGATGAGGTGTATAGATAAGGTAGACAGGAAGAAACTTTTCACCCTTGATGGGCTGAAGTATGATTCGGAGGCAGAAGGCCAGAGATTGAAGGTAAGGGGCAGGAGGTTTAGAGGAGATGCAAGGACTTTTGTTAATACCCAGAAGGCAATGGAGCATGTGGAACTTCAGTCTCTGTAAGGGTGGGAGAGGCAGAAACCCTCATCACGTTGAAGAATGATTTAGATGTGCACTTACAATGCCAAGGCAAACAGGCTATGGGCTGGCCAGTGGGATGAGAGAATAGTTATTTTTGACTAGTACAGATTCAATGGGCAGAAGTGCCTCTGTGTCTCTATGACATGCAATTTCACAACTCCCACTCACATCCAATATTGTCGGAAAGCATTCCCTGGTTATGCCCACTGTTTGTTATTTTAATTATTTCTGCCCCTCTGGTGGATAATCTTGTAGAAATTTTCACTGCTCCAACAAATTCACAAATATGCATCTTTCCTTCCAATTCAAAAGCAACTGAGGAATGTTTGCTGGAAATCAGAGACCTGAATGGTCGAATGGTCATGTTTGACAATGCATAGACAGCTCTCTGTCAAAGCTTAGACATTATATCCTATTGATCAATGTCAGTACTATCTGTCATTGTTTGTGAAACAAGATGAAGTCAGCCAATTCAGAAAAAGATAGATGACTACCAGAGAAGGGGCTTATAAAATATAGGAGGCCTGGTTAGTACATTTGCTGATGACACCAAAACTGAAAATGAGTGGACAGTGAAGGAAGTTATCTCAGAGTACAACGGGACCTTGATCAGATGTGAGATGGTCCAAGGTCTGGCAGACAGAGTTTAATTTAGATAAATGTGAGGTGTTGCATTTTGGTAAGAAACACCAGAGCAGGACTTACACATCTAATAGTATGTCCTGGGGTTTTTTTGCCAAACGAAGGGAGCTTGGGGTGCAGGCTCATAGTTCCTTGAGGCTGAAGTTACAGGTAGACAAGGAGGTGAAGAAGGCATTTGATACGCTTGCCTTCATTGGTCAGTGCATTGAGTATAGGAGTTGAGATATATTGCAGCTGTAGGGAACATTGGTTAGGTGACTTTAGGAATACTGCATTCATTTCTGGTTGCCCTGCTACAGAAAATATGTTGTTAAACTTGAAAGGGTTCAGAAAAGATTTGCAAGGATGCTACCAGCGTTGGAAGGTTTGAGCAATGGGGAGAGGTTGAATAGACTGGGGCTATTTTCTCTGGAGCTTCAGGGGCTGAGGGTTGACCTAATAGAGATTTATAATATCATGAGGGGCATGGATGGGGTGAATAGCCAAGAACTACACCCCAGGGTAGGCAAGTCCAAAACTAAAGGGCATAGGTTTAAAGTGAGAGTGGAATGGTTTGAAAGGGAGCTCAGGTGTAGTTTTTTCATGCAGAGGGCAGTGCATGTATGGAATGAATTGCCAGAGGAAGTGGTGGAGGCTGGTTCAACTGCAAATTTAAAAGGCACCTGGATGGGTACATAGGTAGGAAGTGTTTTGAGGGATATGGGCCAAATGCTGGCAAATGGGACTTGATTAATTTAGGATATTGGGTTGGCAAGGTCAAGTTGGACAGTGCTGTACATCTCTATGACTCTATTCATACACTCAGATCTTTGATCAAATTGTAACAATTTGAAACGCAGGGATAAGACAAGCTTAAAACATGAAGCACCATTAATCATTGAATAGCCTTTCTGTAAATATCAATTGGATGAAATTAAGCTGGCATTTCTTATTAGCTGTATAAATTTATGAAAATGAGGAAGACTTTGAGACACAAGAACATGTAATTACCTTTTGATGTGTGACCCTCCTTTCCTTTCATCACAACTGCAACAGATTGGCTGGATGGGGAAATGATAAAACGTCCATTAACCTCTGTTTGATATTGACAACTGTAGTTTCCAAAAGAAGTCTGTTCATGGGCATTGATGGTAAAGACCGCTGTATCTTCAATACCAGACACATGACGTTCGTGTGTAAGATAATTCCTCTGACTGTGGTACAGGTAGAATATTCCTCCTCTGGGGCGAATATCACCTTTGCAGGAAATCACGACATAGTCCCCACTTGAATTGGAACCGTAATCTGAGAGCACTTGGATCGTCGGTTTGGAGAGTTCATCTGTTACATCATGTTAAAATAAAGCTTTTTACAAAAACATTTGCATATCTTTTTTAAAGCAAGATGCTTGAAAGGAGGAAGGTGCAGAAGAAAACAATTGCAAAGTCCGGCGGGAGATCTTAACAGCAACAATTCTCAAATCAAATATATAGCATGTTATGATCTAATATGTCATGTAAAAGTAATAATAACTTAAATGATATCATTCTATACCATACTTTAACACAACACAATGCCGTGTCAATCTTGAGTGAAATACATTTTCCTTAATTACAAGAAATGCATTGTGTGGGGGTATTATCATAAATACTTCAAACTTTATGGCAGCGATATATTACAATATAATACCAGACAGCTCCACCCAAGCACACAGGATCACTGGGACATGGGAGTGTGCTGGCTCCATACTATTCTACTGAACGACCCCGGGACAGGGAAAGAGTTTGCATATGCCTCGCTGGTCGTATATGTCCTTCCTTTGCCTAATTAACGATTACACTAAATTGATATCGCTGTTTCTCAATAAACTCTCAGAAAATTGGTACAAATGGCCAACTGCCTGTATTCAGTGACTGTGATCACAAACCCCCGTAAAATCCAATATTGATCACTTTGAAATGAGCCGTACTGAGACTGATGTTGGGGCCCATCAATTTAGTGATTGCTGACAGCGTTCTGCATCCTACCCCATGCAGAAGTGAAGGGTGCACTTGATGGTGTATACAATGCTACAGACAGCCTTGAGATGGAATATCCTGAGGCCTTGTTCATTGTAGTCAATGATTTCAACCAGGCCAACCTCAAGAACATATGACTAAAGTATCAACAATACCCTGTTGTACCTGAGGGCTGAGCATCCTTGGCCATTGCCGTACAATCATTAAAGATGCCAACCGCTCCATCCTCCGTCTGCATTTGGAAAATCAGATCACAACACTGTGCTCCACCTCCCGGTTTACAAGCATGAGGACACAGTACACAAAGCTGTGCAATGTTGATCTGAAGCAATGGAAGGCCTTCTATGGAATTGCTTACAGTCAGTGGACTGGTCCATATTCAAAGAACTCAGCTACCAGCATAAATGAGCATGCCATGACTGTTACAGACTTCATCAGTAAGTGTGTAGAAGACCGTGTGCCAAAGAGGTTAATTGGAATCTTTCCCAAACAGAAACCATGGATGAACTAGGAGATCCAGTCTGTACTGAAGTCCAGATCTGAGGCATTCAAGTCAGGCAGCCCTGACATACAGGCAATCTAAGTGCAACTTTCGTGAGACCATCAGAGATACCAACAGCCAATACCATGCTAAGCTCGAGGCGCAGGCCAAATACATGGACATCGTTCATTGTAGCAACGCTTATACAACATAACGGGCTACAAAGTGAAGCCGAACAGAATTGCGGGCAACAGCACATCTCGATGTAATCGAGCACAATGCATTCTACATTTGCTTTGAGCAGATGTCAGATATCCCAACAGTCTCGAATGCACCTGTACCCACGGTCACCTCTGCAGACATTAGATTCACTTTCTTGAGTGTGAACCCACAAGAAATGACTGGCACAGATGGAGACCCCACTGTGCCCAATGATCCTGTGCGGGCTAGCTCATGGGAATATTTGCTGAGTTTTTTAACCTCTCCTTCCTATGACGTGAGGCTCCCATTGCTTCAAGAAGCCACCATCATCCCGTTGCCAAAGAACAATCATGCAGCATGTGTCAATAACTATCACCTGGTGGCTCTGACCTCCATAATTATGAAGTGCTTTGAGAGGTTGGTTATGGCTGACATCAACTCCAGCCTACCAATTCCCTTGCTCCTTTACAGTTCACATACTCATGCAACAGGTCCACAGCAGACACCATCCCCCTGGCCCCACTCATCCCTGGAACATCTGGATAACAAGGATACCTACACCTGGGTCCTATTTATTGAATATAGTTCCACCTTCAACACCATAATTCCAAACAAACTCATCTCTCAACTCTGAGACCTAAGTCTTGGCCTCCCCCTCTGTAATTAGATCCTTGACTTCCTGATCCAGAGACTGCAACAGTCGGAATAGTGACAACATTTCCTCCACCATAATCCTCAACACCAGTGCATACTCAGCCTCCTGCTATACTCCTTATACACTCATGACTGTGTGGCCAAATTCTGTCCCAAATCCATTTTGAATTTTGCTGATGACACCACTGTTGCAGGTTGGAAATGAAACAATGGTGAGATAGAATACAGGAAGGAGATTATGTGCAAGGTGTAAAGACAGAAATCTCTCCATCAACATCCATTCAAAATGTAGGACCCGGATATTGACATCAGGAAGTGGAGTGGAGGGCACCCCCCTGTCTGCATCAATGGTGCTGAGGTGGAGATGGTCGAGAATATCAAGTTTGTGCCAGTGATGACCACTAACCATCTGACCTGGTCCACACACATCGATGCAACCATCAAGAAAGCACAATATCTCTACTTCCTCAGGAGGTTAAGGAAATTCAGTTTTTCTAGAAGGACTCATCAGTGTTTAAGGATGTACCATAGAAAGCATCACAGCGCAGTATGACAACTGCTTTTCCCAAGGCTGCAAGAAACTACAGAGAGTTGTGAACACAGCCTAGGGCGTCATGCAAGCCAGCTTTCATTGACTCCATCTACACTTCCCACTGCCTTGGGAAAACAGCCAACATAATCAAAGAGCCATCCCAACCTGGTTCTACTCTACTTCACCATCTTCCAATCAGGCAGAATATGTAGAAGTTTGAATACACCTACAAACAGATACAAGAACAGCTTCTTCCCCACTGTTATAAGACATTTGAACAGACCTCTTAAATGTTAATTCTGATCTCTCTCTCTGCACTTTGTCTATGCCTCTAACACTGCATAATGCACTCTGTTCTGCTACCCTGATGCACTTTGTATTGGACAAACTGTTTGTATATCACATAAAACAACATTTTTCACTGTGTATTGGTACATGTGAAAACAGTAAAACAACAAATTCAGGGAGAAACGGGTTTAATGACATACCTCCGACACGTATCTGAATGGGGTCAGTCATTCCTGATCTTCTCCATGTTCCATTCTCCAACTGTAAGAAACATTCACACTTGTAACTTGTTTTACCTCTCCTTAAATATTCCAACGGAAATGATGTTTCACATTGTCCTTCAGAAAGTTCTGCTTCCCTGCATTTGGAATTGTAGCACGAGTGTATACTTGTGACTGGACATTGACAGCTGCAGCTCAGCGATGTTGACTCTCCTCCTAAAAACACCCCATACGAAGGACTCAGAGACACAACCGGCTTCGGAAAATCCTCTGAGAAATACAATTAAAGCATTTTACAATCATAATATGTTTAATCAAGATGGCTGAACATTTACAAGAAGCTGACTTTATGTGCACTTTACTGTGCAAAGATTACACAGTGATATGGACTCAGTTTCAGATGCTATTGTCTGACAGTATTGAATTCTGAAAATAAATTCCACTGTTTGAAATTCATGAAGGTGTATAGGGATAATTGCCCTTATTAGCCAGGAGTTTAAGAGCAGGGAGGTGATTCTGGGACTGTATAAAACGTTGGTTAGGCCACAAAGTGCGAGTATTGTGTGTAGTTGTGGAATCCACATTATCAGAAGGATGTGATAGCACTGGGAGAGGGTGCAGAGGGAGAGTTACCAGGATGTTGTCTTGGGGGCTGGAGAGTTTCAATGATGAAGAGGAATTGGACAGACTGGGGTTGTTTTCCTTAAAGCAAAGGAGAATGAGGGGGGTCATCATTGAGATTTATAAACTGATGAGGGACATAGGGACTGATGGTGGACAGGACGAAATATTTCCCTTTGATGGAAGGGTCAATGACCAAGATGGGACATAGATTGGAGGTAAGGGGCAGGAGGTTTAGAGGGGCTGTGAGGAAAAATGTTTTCACCCAGAGGGTGATGGGGATTCTGGAACTCCCTGCCTGTAAGTGTGGGAGAGGCAGAAACCCTCATCATATTGAAGAAAGATTTAGATATGCATTTGCAATGCCAAGACTATGGGCCGAGTGCTGGGAAAATGGGAGAAGAGAACAGTGAGGTGGTTGTTTTTGGCTGGAGCAGATCTGAGTGGCTGATGGGCCTTTGGTTGTGTTTCAGATCTCTTGGAATATACGACTCTAACGTTTATAACTTTTTTATTAATCTTTTGGTGGCCATAACACTTTTAAGCAACAGAACCTCATAATGCAACCTTGGCCATTTTAAACATTGTAATTCTCACTCTATTACTTATGTATACTGCTGGGAAATATAATCAGCCAACCTGTGGCACTTCATGACAGACAGAAGAAAAAAGAGATGTGAGAAGATTAGCTTTCACAATGATGTCTGTAAAACTGTACCCAAATTCAGCAGCAGGTTTGTTGAAACTGTTTCTCATCAACTGACCTGATAATTGAGTGGCAAAGTGTTAACAAAGTTGATTTTATGTCAATGAATTCAATTGTATTTTAAATTCTCATACTCACGTATGTCCTGCATTTCGACCAGCACGTGGGAATGAACTAGTGGGAAACGATAAAGGAATTGATGAATATTAATGTTTTCATTTTTACAAATCTGGAGACACACATAACTGCAAATTTCTCTTGTGACACATTTGGATGGTGGGGGCGTGAGAAGGGAGTGTAATATTTTTGCAAGATGGGGAACACAGTATAAATTGGTAGATGCTCGTTAAAGATGCTTTTAGTTGAGTTGCAACAGGCATTACTTCAGACGGTTTTGGTGACATGTTGATTTGAATGCCTTGGATGAACATACTAGAAGTCTTCAGGCTTTGAGGTTAAGGGCTGATTATATAAAAAATATGTTAGTGTAACGTTGTACGTACCTATCTCATCACCACTCTCCCAGGACAGTCTGCATTAAGAAGGAACAGACAAAAGCAAAAGGGACTTGGGCTAGCTCACAAAATATGGAAAATGGAAATGTATTAGCCGGAGGAAATGCGATTGAAGGAAAAAAATGTTAATCATTTTGGGTACAGATAGGAAACAGCAAGGGGAAACAAGCGTTGATGTGTATTTTTTATAAAGCATCAAATTTATACTACAAAATTTGGGCATGCTACAATCAAGAGCTGAGTGGTGCATTTAATGTAGGTAATAAAGTAATAACAGCAATTTCAATTTGCATGTAGACTCAATCAATGAAGTCATTATTGATGTGGTGGAGGATGAATTCCTATTGTGTGTACAAAATGTTTTCCTGGACTATTACATTGTGGCAACACTCTGGGATTGTACCAGGTTGGATTTAATATTTTGCAATGAGAAAAGGTTAAATTAATACCTGTTCTTTGGATGAGTCTGTGGGAAACAGTGACCACAATGTCATAAAATTTTGGGAAACAGTGACCGTAATATCACACAATTTTGTTTTAGATTGAATGCAGCATTATTCATCCAAAAGCTGAACAAAGGAACAGGTCGTCTGGAGCCAAATTTGAAAATAAAGAAAAATAATCAATAAGACACAAGCAAAGTTGTAAACTTTAGGTTCCACAACAAATGGCCATTCATGTAACATACAAACATTCAATGGGAATGGTGGATTTATCAAGGTTCTTGATAGATATCTAAATTTCATGAGTTGAAAGCAAGCAGATGATCAGACTGCCAGAAACATTGAGAAGCCTGAGATTGGGAATAATTTAGGACCCAGTGTAAAAAAAAACAAGAACAAAAACCAAGAGAAATGCGGATGCTGTAAATCAGAAACAAAAACAAAGTTGCTGGAAAAGCTCAGCAGGTCTGGCAGCATCTGTGGAGGAGAAAACAGAGTTAACGTTTCGGGTCCGGTGACCCTTCCTCAGAACTTGTAAAGAAAACAAGAAACTGTTACAGAGGAGGAAAACAATACAAATTCAAGCAAGTGATGAATACAAAAATGGACAGTAAAGGTTTTAATGATATAATGAAGGGAAAACAATTGGACACCATAAACGTGGATCCATCTCAGGCAAGGATAGGAAACATTACACTAGTGAACAGGAAAGTACATTTGTTGGTCTTGCACAAGGCCATAGAGACCATAAGAAATAAGAACAGGCATAGGCCATTCAAACTCCCAAGCCTGCACTACTAATCAATTGGATCATAGTTGATCCGACATTCCTCAGGTCTACTTTCTTGCCCTTTCACTGTAACACTTCATTCCTCTATGGAGAAAGAATTTATCTGTTTCAACCATAAATATACCCAAAGTCTCTGCCCCCACACAGCAGTCTGCAGTTCCAAATACTTGCAAAATTCTCTGAGAGTAGAAATGCCTCCATATCTCTTTATTTCAACCCCTTTATTCTGAGACTATGCCCTCTGACCCTAGACTCTCACACAAGGAGAAACATCCTCTCAAGCTTTTTCAGAAAGCTTTTCATAAGATGCCACACTGGATATCAACAAATCTAAGTACGGCTCATTGGACTGGATGGATTCAATAGATTGGTTTGGGAATTGATACAGTCAATCTCCTTAAGAATTCTGCATTGTTTAATGAGATTACCTCTCATTCTCCTAAACTCCAGTGAGTTGAGCCCCAACCTGTTTAACTTTCAAGGAAAATGATCCAGGTGAAAACTGTGCAGAACAGTACAATGCACTGAAGAAATTGCAGAAAATAAATAAATAGATAAATTTTGCAAAAAATAAATACAATAAGTAAAATGGTAGTTGATACAAAAAGTTGCAGAGAGAAGTTTCTTAAATATCTTCAGGCTGTTGAAGTTAATGCCAGGGGAGTGAAGAAATGTGCAATACAACAAATTGCTACATTGTTGGCTATCTTTCGAAACTCTGTCATGCTGACTTGAGGGTATCCAAGATAACCTCTTAACTAATGAGGAAAAGGTGTCAATAGTGTCCTTTGTCAGCTTGACGACCACAACAGAGAACAGGTAACCGAGCATGGAGTGAAGAATGGCAAAATTGCACAGCGCTGACATGGGTGTATTAAATAGGAGCCCTGCTTGACAAAATGGTTGGAGCATTTTGAGGTCACTCCTTGCAGCATCAGTAAACAGGAAACAGAGAATTAACTAGGTTTTAAGAAAGCTTTTCATAAGATCCCACACAGGATGTCAACTCAGCTCATAGGACTGGGTGGAATGACTAATATGATTTAGCAATTGCTCAATATAGATTAAGCAGAGACGAGGAATGAATGAATCATTCTCAGGAGACAAGCTTTCCTCAACTTTTATAAATGATTTGGGTGACGGGGCAAATGTTACTAATTCCAAAATTGTTGCAGAAGTAGGCCAGTCGGCCCCGATGCCTGCTCCCCATTCAATAGGATCATGGATAAAGGAGTGGTGCAGGAAAGAGGGGTTCCTTCTCATGGGATACTGGCATCTGTAATGGACAGGAGGGATCTGTCCCACTGTGATATTCCCCACCTGAACCGAGATTGTGAAAAGGGTAAATAGGCTGGTCAACAGGACTTTAAACTAGAAAGTAAGGGGGAAGGGAAGTGTACAACCTAACCCTAACCCCAGTGGGGAAAAAAGCAACAGGCTAACATCTGTAGGGGTAGATTCCAGTGTGTGGAAAAATATAAAAAAATTGATAGGAGAGGAGCACTCAGGAGAGGTTATTAAAGTCTCCAGCACAGTCTCAAATAGGACAGTATTTGGAAAGGGTTAGAAATCAACCTTCAAGCACACTGGATAAACGACTGATAGTGAGAAGAGGGGTGGTTAATACAGGACTGAAGTTGTTATATTTGAATGCACGCAGTATAACAAAGAAGGCAACTGCGCTTGTGGCGCAGATCGAAATTGGCAGATATGACACGGTGGGCATCATGGAGACATGGCTGCAAGGGGATCAGGATTGGGAGCCGAATATCCAAGGATATGTATCTTATTGAAAAGATAGACACGTGAGCAGAGGGAGTGGCATTGCCTAATTGGTGAGAAATGGAATTAAATCAACAGTAAGAAATGAAGTGTGATGGTGTAGAATCTGTGTGGGTAGATTTGAAGAACCACAGAGGTGAAAAAAACATAGTTGGAATAATGTTCAGGCCTTCAAACAGTAGTGAGGAGCTGGGTCGCGAGATACACCAGGAGATCGAAAAGGTGTGTAAGAAAGGCAAAGTTACGGTAATCATGGGGGATTTCAATATGCAGGTGGACTGGGAAAATCATGTTAGTAGTGGATTGCAAGAAAAGGAATTTGTGGAATGCCTATGAAATGGCTTTTGGAAGCAGCTTGTGGTGGACCCCACTGGGGAACAGGCAATACTGGATTTAGTGCTGTGCAATGAGGCAGACTTGACAAGGGAACTTAAGGTAAAGGAATTCTTCGGAGGCAGTGATCATAGTATGATTGAATTTACACCGCACTTTGAGAGGGACAAGATAGAATCAGAGGTAATAATGTTAGAGCTGAATAAACGCAACTACAAAGGCATGAGGGAGGAGTTAGGCAGAATTGATTGAGAGAATAGCCTGGCAGGAAAGACAATGGAATGGCAATGGCAGGAGTTTCTAGGAGTAATTCAGGAGACACAGCAAAAATTCATCCTTAGGATAAAGAATCATGGTGCACAGACAATGATGCAATCATAGATGAATGAGGAAGTCAGGGATAGCATAAAAGCAAAAGGGAAAGCATATAATGTGGCGAAGGGCAGTGGGTAACCAGAGGATTTGGAAGCTTGCAAAGACCAATGGAGGGCAACAAAAAAAGAAATAAGGAGGGAGAAGATTAAATATGAGGATAAGCTAGCTAGTAATAGAAAGGAGGACTGTCAGACTTTCTTTCAATATATAAAGGGCAAAAGAGAGCGAACAGTGGACAATGTACCACTGGAAAATGACACTGGAGAGATAGTAGTGGGGAAGAAGGAAATGTCTGAGGAACTGAATAATTACTTTGCATCAGTCTTCACAGTGGAAGACACGAGTAATATCCCAAAAATTCGAGAGAGTCGGGGGAGCAGAGCTGAGTATGGTGGCCATCACCAAGGAGAAGGTACTAGAAAAACAGAATGGCCTGAAGGTAGATAAGTCACCAGGACCAGATGGACTACACCCAAGAGCCCTTAAGGAGATAGCTGAAGAGATAGTGGAGGTGTTAGTGGTGATCTGTCAGGAATAGCTAGAGTCAGGGACGATCCCAGAGGACTGAAAAATCGTTAATGTGACACCTCTGTTTAAAAAGGGAGTAAGGCAAAAGACGGAAAATTACAGGATGATTAGCCTAACCTTGGTGGTGAGTAAGATTTTAGAATCCATTGTGAAGGATGAGCTTTGTGAATACTTGGAAATGCATGGTAAAATAGGGCAAAGTCAGCATGGCTTCATCAAGGGGAGTTCATGCCTGACAAATCTGTTAGAATTCTTTGAGGAAGTAACGAGCAGGGTAGACCAAGGAGAGCCAATGGATGTTATCTACCTGGACTTCAAGAAGGCCTTTGACAAGGGGCCGCACAGGAGGCTGCTGAGTAAGATCATGGCTCCATGGTGTTAGAGGCATGGTGCTAGCATGGATAGAAGACTGGCTGTCTAGAAGAAGGCAGAGAGTGGGGATAAAAGGGTCTTTCTCAGGATGGCAGCCGGTGACAAGATGTTCCACAGGGGTCAGTGCTGGGACAACAACTTTTCACTTTATGTATTAGTGATCTAGATGAAGGAACTGAGGGCATTCTGGCTAAGTTTGCAGATGATACAAAGAGGGACAGGTATTAGTAGGAGGTGGGGAGGCTGCACAGGATTTGGACAGGTTAGGAGAGTGGGCAAAAAAGTGGCAGATGGAGTACAATGTGGTAAAGTCTGGGTCATGCACTTTGGTCAGAAGAATGAAAGCATGCACTATTTTCTAAATGAGGAAAAAATTCAGAAGTCTGAAGTGCAAAGAGACTTCAGGGTACTAGTCCACTATTCCGTCAAGATAAAAAAGCTGGAAGACAAATGCAACTTTGGCATTTATTTTGAGAGGGCTTGAACATAAAAGCAGGGATGTACTTCTGAGGGTCTATAAAGCTCTGGTTATGCCACATTTGGAGTATTGTGCACAGTTTTGTATCCCATATCTCAGGAATGATGTACTGGCCTTGGAGGATGTTCAGAGGAGGTTCATGAGGATGGTCGCAGGAGTGAAAAGATTAACATATGAGGAATGTTTGAGGATTCTGAGTCGATAGTCGATGGAGTTTAGAAGGATGAGGGGGGATCTAATTGAAACTTAGAGAATATGGAATGGTCTGGGCAGAGTGGATATTGGGAAGGTGTTTCCATTGGTAGGAGAGACTGGGTTACTAGGGAATATCCTTAGAGTAAAGGGAAGATCTTTTAGAAGAGAGATAAGGAGAAACTTCTTCAGCCAGAGAGTGGTGAATCTATGGAATTCACTACCACTGAGGGCTGTGGAGGCTGGATCATTGGGTATATTTAAGATGGACACTGATAGGTTCATGGTTGTCAAGGGGATCGAGGGTTGCTGGGAGAAAGCAGGGCAATGAGGTTAAGAAACTTATCAGGCATGATTGAATGGTGGAGCAGTCTTGATGGGCTGAATGGCCTAATTCCTGCTCCTATAACTTATGATCTTCTGGTCTTATGGCTGATCCGATGCTCCTAGAGTGATAGTGATTCAAATTCAGGAATGTGAAGGCCTCAGAAATGGTTCCATGCATTTCTACCATCATCTCACTCTACGTTGCATCTCTCAGAAATATTCCCTGAGACCTGTCTGCCTCAGTTCAAATATTCTTCATCATGCCGATACATTTCCTTAGCTGTCGAGAAGTTTCAATTAATCCAAATTGTTTCAGCCTGCCCCACAGTAACATTCGCTCTCACTCTGCCCCACAATTCCTGTTTATCTTACCCGTGACCACACATCAGCATGCATTCTCCCTTCAGTCATTTAATGAATTTGTATGATCAATATGAAAATTGTGTGGTCACTTCAATGTGATAGACCTCTCTTGATAAAAAAGCAAGTCAACTCTCGTTTTATAAAAACTGGACAAAGCTCATCTGCTGGAAATTCATCAGTTTCCAAATACATCTCTCTTCCCATCCCACATGTTACTGAATCGTATTATGTCACATCACACTGTCAGGATTACTGGTCTATATAGATATCCCTTGTCATTTTCATAGAATCACTACAGTGGGGAAACAGGCCCTTCAGCCCAACAAGTCCACACTGACCCTTGGAGCATCCCACCCAGATCCATCCTGTTTAACCCACACATGCCTGAATACTACGGGCAATTTAGCATGGCCCATGGCAGGAACCAGAGGAAACCCAGGCAGAATACATAGATCCCACACAGACAGTCACCTGAGGGTGGAATTGAACCCAGGTCCCTGATGCTGTGAAGCAACAGTGCTAACCACTGAGCCACCACATGGCCCCAAACAAACTCTTGGAATCTCCCCTGCAGGGACTCGACCCCGCTCTCCCGTATGACAGATGGGGATACTGACCACTATACTACCGAGGATGGTAATTTTACTGGAGTCAGCCTTGATGAGTACACTTTTCTTCTCATTCATCTGTAAAAAATCATTACGGAGTTGAAGTTTTTCGGAATTTAACAGAACAAGGAAGGTCAATTGGACAAACACTTTAATTTTTCACTTTCATAATACGAAGCTACAATATAGTTCATTAAAAAGTTGCAGCAAGCTAAACTCTTTTGGTGGACTTCCACAACTGACCAGTTCCTGAATTATACAAAGTCACTTATTATTTAGAGTAATCTTCTCGGAGGTAAATAAACTAACTCTGAGGACCCACTACTCACCAATTGCAAGAAAGATTGAAAAAGCGAACATATTCCGAAGAAATTTCCACCCAATATTTTGGATGTCGCGATCTGCGAGTGGGTTTCATTTACCACTTGAGATTCTGACAGGTTGGAAGATAACAGTCTGTATTGAGCAAGATGAAAGAGGAACTGAGATGGTAATGCCAGTTGTCATGTGGCTTCCCAATGCAATTTCTATCGCCCACGTTTGGGTGAGTCAACTTATTTTTAAACGTCATAAAAAGATCATGTTGTTGAGCAGTCAGCGCAGAAGCAGTGTGTGGAAGTGGAAGCCTTCTGCCAGATTACACACAGAGCCTAAATTTAACTCAGTTAGCTGGACAGCTGGCTTGTAATACACAGTTAGATTAACAGCTCAGGTTCAGTTCCCACAGCCAGCTGAGGTTAATATGAAATTGCCACCTTCCCGATCTCCTTACTTGAGACCTGCAAACCTCAGGTTAAACTCACCCCAAGTCAATCACTCTTGAGAGAGTAGGACTATGGCAACATTACCATTACCCAGTGATTAGAAGCCATAAGGACCATATCAATGTCTGAAGATTACAAATACTGACTGTAAATGAAAATGCAATGTTTAATGTACACAAAGTGTGTTTGAATCCCATTCAGTTTGCACCATTGTAATTTGTCACATTTGAAATGCTGAATAACATGCTGTTGTAAATTTGAGGAACAATGTGTTTATTCACGAAAAGGAAAGCTGATTGCACATTTCACATGTTACACCTGTGTGCATACCTCTCCCTAAGACATTGATTTTTCTGAAATTAACTCATGGTCAGTAATTATTACCCGTCCCTAGTTGCCCTTAAGAAGGTGGTGCTGAGCTGCCTTCTTGAACTGCAGAATTGCAGTTAAGCTGTCACGTACAATGTGTAGTGTGTTGGAAAATGATATCCTCCTGGCTCCTTCTTGATGCTCTGTGTCGATTTATGTTTTTGTTTTAATGATACTGGCCAGAAATTTGGAATTCTGGAAATAGAACTGCATTGTCAAATCGGGTTCCGAATCAGGGGAGGATTCATTCTGTTCTAATAAATGTTAATGATAAACTGAACTTACTTTGTAATATCTCACCCGTATTGACATTATTTTAATGAAATAACTCCCTTTCACCCTTCAGTTGAATGATCAGAACACAGGCTGACTTATTCATGTTGCAGGTTTGTTCAATGCTGTTAATTCAGCTGCTTCACCAATGACCTTCCCTCCAACTTAATGTCAGATGTGGGATGTTTGCCGATGATTGCACAATGTTCAGAACCATTTGCAACTCCTCAGATACTGAAGCGGACCATTTTCAAATACAACAAGCCTTGGACAATATCCAGGCTCTGGGCTGACATGTGGCTAGAAGCATTTAAGTCACACAAATGCCAGGCACTGACCATCTCTCTCCACACACGCTGCCAGACCTGCTGAGATTCTCCAGCACTTTCTAGGTTAAAGGACAAACCTTTTAGGACTGAGATGAGCAGGAATTTATTCAGCCAGCGGGTGGTGAATTTGTGCAAATCTTGCCACAGACGGCAATAGAGGTCAAGTCATTTAGTGCCTTTGAGGCAGGCATGGACAGCTTCTTGAGTAGTCAGAGGATCAAGGGTTATAGGTTGAAGCTATAAGAATGGGGTTGAAATGTGAACAACTGAAATCTAATGAGGGAGCAGATTCGATGGCTAGAATGGCCTAATTTTGATCTCATATCTTATGGCCTTATGTTGGCCAGACCAGATAAGAACAGCAGATTTCCTTACCTGTAGGACATTAGTGAACCCGAGGGGACACTCTAACAAGGCAAAAATGATGATTTCTCTTCCAGATTATCAGGGCACAAATAATGGTCTTTCAGGAGACTTTTTGGTTGTCTGTAGCTGTAAATCTCCACATGATTATTCTCTCCAATAATTTGCCTATTTCCTGTTAAGATCTACAGTTGTATCTTACGTTATCCTTTTTCTGAAGAAGGGTCCAGACCCGAAACGTCAGCTTCCCTGCTCCTCTGATGCTGTTTGGCCTGCTGTGTTCATCCAGCTCTACACCTTGTTATCTTAAATTAATTTTGTGTTGTTGATCGGCATGAATCCCCTCCCAGTCCCATTCTACAAGGATTCACAGTGCGTCAGTCCATTCCTTACCTTCTTGGGTTATTTGAATGTCTTAACTGCACCAATTTTGTCCGCATGATATTTGTGGCAGAGTCTTATTTTTAAAAATGGCCTGCTTTAAATTTCACGCTGGGAATAATCGCAGGCTGTTGGGCTTCTTTACAAATTGTCTCCAAAGCATTTCCAGTTTTGAACAAAAGTCAGTGAGGAGTACAACTCAGTCAGAGATAGTAAGAACTGCCGATGCTGGAGTCAGAGATAACACAGTGTGGAGCTGGAGGAACACAGCAGGCCAGGCAGCATCAGAGGAGCAGGAAAGTTGACGTTTTGGGCCGGGACCCTTCTTCAGAATTGGTGGAGGGGGAAGGGAGCTCAGAAATTAACAGAGAGAGGAGGGCTGTGGTCCATTGCATCCGCTGCTCCCGATGTGACCTCCCCTACATTGGGGATTCAAAGTGGAGGCTCGGAGACCATTTTGTAGAGCACCTGTGCTCTGTTTGCGACAAACAAACTTCTGGTCACAAACCATTTTAACTGCCCCGTCCCACTCCCTGGGTGACATGTCCATCCTGGGCCGCCTCCAGTGTCACAATAATGCCACCCGGAAACTGGATGAGCAGCACCTTATATTCCACCTTGGAAACCTACAGCCCAATGGCCTAAATGTGGATTTTAATAGTTTCAAAATCTCATCACCCTGCCTCATTCCATGACCAACCCTTCTACCTGCACTCACTCATCACCATCCCACCTATTTTCCCTCGCCCCACCCCTCCTCTCTCTACTTAATTCTGAGCTCCCTTCCCCCTCCCCCATTTCTGAAGAAATGTCCCGACCCAAAACATCAATTATCCTGCCCCTCTGATGCTGCCTGGCCTGCTGTGTTCCTCCAGCTCCACACGGTGTTATCAGGAAGGAGTACATATTTTTTATATACCAGTCTAAAGCTCACAAACTGGGCATTTTTACACACAGAAATTAAAAACAGGAACTCTAGCACGTTCAAAACCGGAAGGGATGCAGTGTCGGTAATGTCAAAGATGCAAAATAAAGAATTTAGTGGACTGATAAGCAAAAGCATTCATCAGGCTTTGAAACTTCTGCATGTCCATCATTGGCTTTCAACTCTGCAGCGATTGACTTGGTGAACTGGACTCTCATTATAAAATCATTCGCTATCCTTTTAGTGTAAATCTTTACAAATGCATGAAGCCAATATCTTGGCCTGGAACGACCGGTCCATGAACGACGAAAACCCATCACACAAAAAATAATTCCTGAGCTTGTCGGGGAGACACGGTCCCGAGAGCATAGGGAAGGGATGAGCCTTTAGAACTGAGATGAGCAGGAATTTGTTCAGTCACAGGTTGGTAAATATGTGGAACTCATTACAGTAGAGGGCTTTGGAGGCCAAGTTATTGAGTGTCATTAAGATGGACTGAGATAGACAGATGCTTGATTGGTAAGGGGATCAAAGGTTACAGTCAGAAAGCAGGAGAATGGGGTTTGAAAACATATCAGCCCTGATCGAATGAGCCAAATGAACTTATTCTGCCCCAGTATTTTATGGTCTTACATACATATACATTGTTGTGTGCTCCATCATGTTTTATGTCAATGTTAAGACCAGGACATGATAGAATACGCTGAATCCCACTAATAGTGCTGGAAAAGACGCTTTCATAGCAATCGTTAGCATTATAGAAATCTTCCATTCAATTCCTAATTCCTGAGTAATGATTGTTTAAGGTATGTCAAACTTATATACTTCCCAAGGGAGGAACAATGGGTATGCCTGAATCCTCTAGAAAATTCTCAAAAACACCAAGCTTTTCCACAGCAACTAATATCCATTGACAAGTTCTCCTGAATGTAAATGTCTCAGTTTCTTGTTCTGGTCATTTCCAATATTTCCAATCTAATTGGCTTCTTGCTTCCTTTGGAACATAATTTTCTTCTCTGCACAATTTCAAAGGTTACGGGGTGACCTGCTCGAAGTCTCCAAGTTATTATCAGGAAAAGACAGAGCTGTGTTAATTACAACAGTATGGTGACACAGTGGTCAGCATTGCTCTTTTATAGCGCCAGGGACACCTGGTTCGATTCTAACCTTGTGTGGCTGTCTGTGTGGTTTTCCTCTGGGTGCTCTGGTTTCCTCCCATAGTCCAAAAATGTGCAGGTTGTGTGGACTGGCCATACTAAATTGCCCCATTGTGTCAGATGAGGTACGTGGGGTACTATTGAAGCACCAGTGCAAACCTGATGGGCTGAATGGCCTCTATCTGCACTGCAGGGAATCTGGTTGGAGAATATTTTCCTCCACTGTGTTCTTTTCTCTTTGTTCTTTGATAGGATGTGGGCATCACTAACAAGGACAGAAAATGTTGTCCATTCCACATTGTTGCTCATTTTCAGACCGTTTCTGTGGGACATGAAGAGCTTTTAACCAAAAAAGTATCTGACCTTTCTGCCAGGTGTTCCTCCCTAGTGTGAAACAGAGAGGGATTTGATTTAGAAATTAATTAAACAAGCCCTTCTTTGGTTCACTCTCTTGGTATCAATATCAAACAGATCTGTTATTTTATCAACTTCTTACTTTATCTAAATTAACGTCAACTTTAATGCACTTCATTTGACTTTATCTCACTTGAATTTAATTCACATTTCACTGAATCTCTAAATTTATAACTTTGGCTTGAAACAAATATGAATCCGATTTGACTGAAGTGACCGACTTTGCCCTCAGTGCAAATGTCACCTTGTGGTTCTTTGTCTTCGCTGAAGATAACTTCACCCACGTACTTCTCAAATGTTGGTCTTGAGGGCTCACTCCTGCACAATCCTTTGTTCTGGCTACTTTCATCTCAAAGTGTAGTTTTTCTTCCAGAAACCTCTCTGGCACTCAGCCAATGAATTGACCAAACCGTGATCACAATATTCGATCCCAGCTAATGGTGTATCACTGGTGAAGAATGACCCAGTGGTTATTCCACATC